CTCTCTCTCTCTCTCTCTCTCTCTCTCTCTCTCTCTCTCTCTCTCTCTGTGTAGATATTGAAAACTCAACGGTACGAATTTGATTAACTACTTAAATGAAATATGCAGTCAGTCTGCCCCCGACTTTACGTTGATGGCAGTAAACTCGCACTCTAGTTGCAACAGCCAAATCATAATGTACTTGTTGAATGTAGCAGCACCTTCATCCACTGACCCGAATCAATTCATCCACTAGTAACACCCTACCATACAAGCCAATTAAAGTAATGATAGTACCGGCAAAAGCAATAAAGTGATGACCATAATGAACACAACAGCATCATCGTAGAGATCAAGGTGAACATAGGCGCGAAGTGAATGTAGTACGCAGGCTAACGACAAGTTTCCCTGGATAACACTAAACTTCGGCATCCATAGTAGCCCAACAGTATTTATCATGTTGCAACAACAGATGACTTTTCTCCTTTTTCACTGCAGTTTTCTACGTTTGTATCCAAGAACTCGATTTCTGATCTTTACAGCGTCTGTTGTTATCTTTTTCTCATGGTCAATTTGACAAATAACTGTCAGAATGAAGTTATGTTCACCTTGTTCATGTACCTGCAACAATAGATATTCAGAACAATGATTCACATAAAATTAGTATACAAGAATGAACATCAAGAATATTATCGTGAATGTTAACTATTTAATCTATGTATTTAACATAAATCAATGTCTTTTAAGGAATTAAGAAGCAAGGTCTATAAAAGTTCATGAAGATGAAAAACAGATATATACATCCATCATCATGCATGGCATTACATACAATAGCAATGAACATAAGCACTGATATACAGAAAAGCGTTGCTCTCTAGGTTGTTTTTCCAGGCGCCCGGAAAACCAATTTCTGCCCAGGTTCATCCCAGGTTACCCAGCCACGCATGATGCTCAGGCTGGGTTCCGGGCAGCCCGAACACAAAAAATAGAAAGTAAAAATAATTCAAAAAATTCTACAAATAAAATATCTTGTGTAGATTTGCAATGCAAACAAATTTCGGTTGAGGGTCACATCTGAATTCCTCACTGAATAAAAGATAAAAATAACAATAAAAAAATAGACTAATGCATCCCCTTGTAAACCCTTTTATCATCTCTGAAGCGAATTTATACCCCCCTTACTTCCCCTTCACAACCAACATTCACAAAAAGAAAATCACGTGCATTTTTACTTGCCCACGGTTCCTCTCTGCATGCGCAGATAACCCCGCCATGCCAAAAAAAAAAAAAAAAAAAAACACATAATTTTTTACTTACCCACAGTACTCGAGTAGGTTCCCCCTAGGGCAACTTGCCCCGGTGCACGGTCGGGGCATGGCCGGCCAGGGGAAAAAAATAACCTAGGTTGCTATGTCATTCTCTATGTCTCTCTCTGTCTCTCTCTCTGTCTCTCCCTCTCTCTCTTAGATCACAAGAAAATGGATATGTACCTCCCTACGAGTGGAAATGATGAGTCAATTTCGACCAATGTTCGGTCTGGGTAAAGCTAGTATAGATGGCGGGACACCAGAATGACTTGCAAGCATGAATTGGTAAAGCCACAATGATCAACAGGGGGGATAATATAGTCACTTGCAGACAACAAACGTAAGATAAATAGCGAGACAAGGGGAAGATATTGTTACATACCTTAATGAATTCTTATAGCCTGCGAACCACATGAAGCGCTGTTCACAGATTGACATATTTGCTGACTCAAACTCTTCATACATCTCAGGATTCAGATTATTGCTACACCAATGTCCCACATGGTTCTTTCGATAGTGAAAAAAATCAACCGTTTTTGCAAATTGGACAAGAAAAAACAAACAAAAAGAGTAAAAGAAATCTCATACGAATAGTAAATGTTGTACGAGCCCCAGATGAATCGTTGTTACTACATGTTGGACGAACCACAATATCCCCTGCTCCACCTTGACGAGTACATGCAAAATCACCCTTACTTTATGCAGGCAATGAAACACACTTGAGATGATCGAATTTAATAATGAAAATAAATATGAGCTCTGTAGTTAGCAACATGAAACACCATAGATTTATTATGATAGCCAGGGTGACCAGCATTGGGCCGAACGCCTAAACCCGAACGCCCGAACGTACAGGACCCCTTGGGGATGCGTTCGGTTGTTCGGACCGAACGCGGACCAAAAAAAAAAAAATCATCAAACAAATCGAAAAACTCTTAAAAAAACATATGTTATGTAGAAAACTAAACTAAACAACATTTACCTGAGCATGACATCTAAATTTCGTACCAAATTTAAAATAATGAAAAATAAAAAAGAATAAAAAAAAGAAATTAAAGAATTAAAATTAGTGAGTGCACAAACCAATTTTCGATGCCGTCATCTTTGGCGATTTTTCAGTTTTGTTTGGCATAGTCAAATGCCCTGCAACTTTCTATATGTGTACTACACATAATAAAAAACTCGTGGAAAAAGTTTAAAAAAATAATAAAATATGTGAGGCACCAAAATAAAATCATAACAAACAGTGAAAAGTGAAAAAAAAAAAAAAAAAAAAATCCGGGCACGTTTCAACATCACCATCTTTGACGATTTTTCATTTTTTTCTGGTTCAGCACAATGCCTTTAAAATTTATATGCCTGTAGCGCATGTCCTACAGAACTTCCAAAAAAGAATTAAAAAAAAAAAAATCATTTTTAGGCCCCGAGATAATTTTTAGTAGGGGCCAATCCCCTTCAAGTTCGGGCCCCAAACGTAACCCCAAACGCCCAAACGTTCGGGGGTCAGCCTGGGCCCCCCCAAACGTTCGTCTTGGTAAACATGATGATAGCAGTATAATACAAATTCGAGCTCTATGGATCAGATGAGCGTGTATCAGTATTAATGTATTCATTATACTCACCAACATGATGAATTTTTTCCCTGTTTATGAACTCGGTTGTCTTTGGCGAAGCATTCTGGCGTTTTGCATTGAGAGCAAATCGAAGGAGATGACACATGTCATCATAGCCGATGAACTCAGGACATGGGTGGTGCGCGAACAGAGTCAACAAATAGTGATATACCTGCAAAGTCATTTCACCAACAAGAATAAGTGGTGACCAGAAAAGTTGTTAAATTTTCAATTACCATTCGTCAATTTTTTTTCTACATATTCAGTTTTTTTTAGGTTGTTTTTCGGGGTGCCCGAGCACTCAACTTGTGCCCGGATACACGCCCGGGTGCCCGGCCGGGCATGACCCCCGGGCAGGGTTCCGGGTAGCCCCAGCGCAAAAAAAAAAAAAAAATAATAATAATAATAATAATCATAATAAATAAAAAAAAATCAGAGAAAACATATGTTGTGTAGAATTGCAATACAAACAACTTTTGGTTGAGGGGCACATCAGAATTCCTCATCGAATCGGAGATAAAAAAAAAAAAGAAATCACATTAAAGGACCCCCCTTTAACCCCTGCAGTAACCCGTGTTCCGCAGCAGTCTGGGGGCCCGAAACTGTGCCCAGACGACACAGGCCAAACACGGTTTGCGCCAGATAGTGCGACCACATACTGCCCCCTCCAGAAAGTCAAGAGTCCAAGTCAACTTACAGGTCAAAGGTACCACGCCAAGACCCCTTGTCAGATACACTCACTTGTTGTGCGCAGGTACCGAGACAACATCAAGGCCACAGGAAATTTTGTTTCAGACCGATCTGGGCCGTTATTGGCAATGAGATCGCGACGGCCAATGGATGTAGCATCTGGGGTCCAGACCCCGCGTCAACACTACATAAGCGTTGACCTCTTGGCTTTGGGGACATTCCGTCAATGCCGACTTCACGCGTTGACAACAACGTTAGCGCGACGCTGGCTGGACGCTGGCTCTACGCTGGCAAACGGGTGGACTACAGCGATGCTATGCTGGCTCGGTATCGTGGCTGACTTGCAATTGTCTTTTGGGCATGCTGACGTGGCAGCTGCCACACGCTGCCACTGACGTGGTCGCTGCCACGAATATCACTGATTGCTGACGTGGTGAGGTTATGCGACTGACATTGCTGTTTTGTTTCAATGATATTCGGGAGGAGATCATGACTGTGGGGCGATAGTCGATACGTACCTGGTTATCTTAAGGTCGACATTGCTCCAGCTCGCTGATGAGGACTGATTGACGTACCACGTGACACATTGTGATAAAACTTCAAATCACGTTCACATTATGATCGAGAAAGGAACCCGAAAGAGAAGTGGACAGTGTCTTTTATTCTTCCTCTAAGTCTATTCTCCCCCCTCTCTCCTTCGTTTGTGTATGTTTTCTCATCTCATTGTATCTTAACACAATTATGATTATTGACAATCATCAACAGATTGATATTTATCTGGGCTTGCATTGTTGACAAGTGTCTTCACGATCAGGGTTCATTGCACCCCTCGTAGCCCCTTAAAAAAATATATACAACCTTCATTCCCCCCCTTGACATCCAACTCTTAAAAAATTAAACGAGCCCGGATTTTGGGTCCTCTAAGAGAGCGCAGAAAAATAAATTTATTATTATTATTATTTTATTTTATTTTTTTTCACACCCAGGTGTCTAGCCGTGCAGGCCTGGCTGGACATGAAAAACTTCCTAGTTTTTTTTTCATATCTGGTGCAATCTTTTCAGCGGAAGGAAGACACTGTCATATCTCGGATGGGCAATCGAGTGCAATTAGCGAAGTATGTATGTAGTGAAGAAATAAATAATCAAAAATTCTCCAGAAAGAGAAAGACTGAGTGAAGCTTATGTTCAGTTACCTCTTGGTTGTCGTGTTAATCAAGCAACACTTTGACCTACCTGGGTACAAGACTCTGTAAGCACCATTTTCATTGGCGAAAACATAAAAGCGCACGACCAAAAGCAATGAACAGTTCAACATGTATTCCGTTTCTTATCATCGAAGTTCTTTGGAGTACGTGATGTTCTCTGAATCTTTGTTGTCTTCTTTCTTTCTTCTTCGAGCTCAGCATGATCCTCCGGAACCTGTGGTCCTTCATAGAAGTCAATTGGTAGTTGTTTGTCAAGGAACTTCTTTAAAATTGTCTGTCCTTGTTTTCCGATGAAATCATTTATGATGACACCAGATGAACTTTGCATAAGGTTGATTTTTTCATTTGACAAGGTAAAAGACTTCTTGCAGCCAACCAATGAAAACAACAAGAAACATAAGTAATATCTCAAATCACTCATGCATGAGACGTATGTCATGGAACTCGGAGTATACAAAATTAGAAATTAGCAACACAGATTATGTAACATTGATTGCATTGTCTAGAAATTAGAATAGATCTTGCTAAACTTGGATTTCTAATAAATTTACTTGCTTCATTTAATAGTCGAGACTCAATAATATACTCCACGTTGCTCATGTGTGTCCATTTTTTGTACCGAAATACCAAAGCACTTCGGGATATGATATAGTTGATAAAGAAAATCGACTAAGTTAAACACCGAAATCTCGAAGTGCGTTTTCGGTACCGAAACACCAAAAGCACTTCGGAATATGATGTATTAAACATCGAAATCCCCAAGTGCGTTTTCGGTACTGAAACACCGAAAACACTTCGAGACATGATGTAGTAGATAATAGAAAATCGACAAAGTTAAACACCGAAATCTCGAAGTGCGTTTTCGGTACCGAAAAATCGAAAGCACTTCGGGATATGATGTAGTTGATAGAGAAAATCGACTAAGTTATACACCGAAATCCCGAAGTGCGTTTTCGGTACCGAAACACCGAAAGCACTTCGAAATATTATGTACTAAGCACCGAAATCCCGAAGTCCCTTTTCAATACCAAAACACCGAAAGCACTTCGGGATATGATGTACTAAGCATCAAAATCCCGAAGTCCCTTTTCAATACCAAAACACTGAAAGCACTTCGGGATATGATGTACTTGATAAAGAAAATCGACTAAGTTAAACACCGAAATCCCAAAGTGCGTTTTCGGTACCAAAACACCGAAAGCACTTCGGGATATGATGTATTAAACACCGAAATCCCGAAGTGCGTTTTCGGTACCGAAACACCAAAAGCACTTTTGGATATGATGTATTAAACATCGAAATGCCGAAGTGCGTTTTCGGTACCGAAACACCGAAAACACTACAAGATGTGATGTAGTTGATAGAGAAAATCGACTAAGTTAAACACCGAAATCCCGAAGTGCGTTTTTCGGTACCGAAACACCGAAGACACTTCAGGATATGATGTAGTTGATAGAGAATATCGACTAAGTTAAACACCGAAATCCCGAAGTGCGTTTTCAGTACCGAAACACCGAAAGCACTACAGGATATGATGTAGTTGATAGAGAAAATCGACTAAGTGAAACACCGAAATCCCGGAGTGCGTTTTCGGTACCAAAACACCGAAAACACTTCGGGATATGATGTAGTTGATAGAGAAAATCGACTAAGTTAAACACTGAAATCCCGAAATGCGTTTTTGGTACTGAAAC